GTAAATCTTAAACTCCCAAGTTTATCCCTTCCCACTCCCTTTCTCCAATAACCATAAGATTGTTTACTATGTCTACGAGACTGTTTCTGTTTTTTAGGTGGGTTCATAGTTCCTTTTTTTCTTCTTTTTTTCTTTTTTTAGATTCCACATATGAGTGATATCATATGGATTTTTTTTTCTCTTTCTGGCTTACTTCACTGAGAATGATGATCTCCAGGTCCATCCATGTTGCTGCAAATGGCATTATTTTGTTTTTCTTTATGGCTGACTGGTATTCCATTGTATAAATATACCACAACTTCTTTATCCAGTCATCTGTTGATGGGCATTTAGGTTGTTTCTATGTCCTGGCTATTGTAAATAGTGCTGTTATTAACACTGAAGTGCACGTATCTTTTTGAATTAAGGTTCTCTCTGGATATATGCCCAGGAGTGGGATTGCTGGATCATATGGTAAGTCTATTTTTAGTCTTTTGAGGACTGTCCATACTGTTTTCCATAGTGGCTGCACTAAACTGCATTCCCACCAGCAGTGTAGGAGGATTCCCTTTTCTCCACAGCCTCTCCAGCATTTATCATTCATAGACTTTTGAATGACGGCCATTCTGACTGGTGTGAAGTGATACCTCATTATAATTTTGATTTGAATTTCTCTGATAAATAGTGATATTGAGCATTTTTTCATGTGCCTATTGGCCATTTGTATGTCTTCATTGGTGAATTGCTTATTTAGGTCTTCTGCCCATTTTTGGATTGGGTTGTTTGTTTTTCTGTTATTAATTTGTATAAGGTTTTTATATATTCTGGAAATTAAGCCTTTGTCAGTTGAATCCTTTGGAAATATTTTCTCCCATTCCATAGGTTGTTGTTTTGTTTTGCTCATGGTTTCCTTTGATGTGCAAAAGCTTGTAAGTTTAATTAGGTCTCATTTGTTTATTTTTGCTCTTATTTCTATTGCCTGTGTAGAACGCGCTAGGAGAACATTGCTAAGATTTCTGTCAGAGGATGTTTTGCCTATGTTTTCTTCTAGGAGAATTATATCTTGTCTTACACATAAATATTTAAGCCATTTTGAGTTTTATTTGTGCTTGGAGTGAAGGAGTGTTCTAGCTTCATTGATTTACATGCTGCTATCCAGTTTTCCCAACACCATTTGCTGAAGAGACTGTTTTTATTCCATAGTATATTCTTGCTTCCTTTGTAGAAGATTAGTTGGCCAAAAGTTTGTGGGTTCATTTCTGGGCTCTCTATTCTGTTCCATTGGTCCATATGTTTGTTTTTGTACCAATACCATGCTGTCTTGCTGACTGTGGCCCTATAGAATTGTCTGAATTCCAGGAGAGTTATTCCTCCAGCCTCTTTCTTTCTCTTCAGTAATGCTTTGGGAATTCTAGGTCTTTGATGGTTCCATATAAATTTTATTATGATTTGTTCTAGTTCTGTGAAATATGTCCTAGGTAATTGGATAGGGATTGTGTTAAATCTGTAGATTGCCTTGGGCATTATGGCCATTTTAATGATACTGATTCTTCCAATCCAAGAGCATGGGATATCTTTCCATAAAATGGGAATAGTTTAACCAACTCTTACAATGTTAATAAAAATTAATGAACATTCCTGACTCTTTTAGATTGTCTAGAAGGCCAAATATAAGCAGAGAGGAGGGAAAGTTGTCCAGAAAGGGCCCCTGCTGGTAATAGAGGACATCAGTCAGAGAAGGGCTCATTGAGATACCCTCTTGGCTAGACTCAGCCACACCACATGCAGCAGTAGGTGTGCTCTCAGGAAAAGCTGCAGGCAGTGCTGAGAGGAGGAGGGGCTGAAAGACCATAAAGAGATGGTTACTTATTAGACCTTATATCCCACAAACCCACAGGTCATTTCATTGACCCCCCTCTGTTTTTCTTTTTTTAACTTAAGAAATATTTGACATTCAAAAAGATATAAAAGTAATATAATGAGCACCCATGTACTCACTAACCAACCTAAGAAATAGTTCATTACAAATACAGTCTTTCCCCTCTCCCTCTCTTCTTCCTTTCCTTTCCCTTTCTTCCTCACCTGTCCCCATTCTCCTCTCTGTACTCTCTTGAGTTTCTATGTATCATTTTTGTATATTTTTACATAACTTTCCTACATATGTATGTATCCCTAAACATTATGTGACATTGTTTTGTATGTTTTTAATCCTCATATAAGCATAGTAGATATAGGTGAGATAAAACTATGTAGAAAAGAAACCGGGGAAATGATGAGCATGTGTTTTAATATGGAGATTACCTTGGGGTTGTAGATTTTGGAATGGGCATCGGGTTCACCAAAACTTAATATATCATTAAAAGTAAATAAGTAATACAAAACCACAATGAAATATCACCTCTCAGCTGTCAGAATGGCTATCTCAAAAAGAATACATAACAAATGTTGGTAAGGATGTAGAGAAAAGGGAACCCTCCTACACTGTTGATGGGAATGTAAATTGGTGTAGCCACTGTGGAAAACAGTATGAAGTTTTCTCCAAAAACTACAAATAGAATTACTATATGACTCAGCATTTCTCCCCCTGCATATGTACCTGAAAAAAAAAACTAAACAAAACTAAACACTAATTCAAAAAGGTACATGCACCCCAATGTTCATAGCAGCATTATTTACAGTTACCAAGGTATAGAGGCAACCTAAGTGTCCATCAACAGATGAATGGATAAAGAAGATATGGTTTTATATATATAATGGAATGCTATTCCTCCATAAAAAAGAATGAACCCTCGCTATTTGCAAGCAACATGGATGGACCTGAATTGCATTATGCTAATTGAAATAAGGCAGACAAAGACAAATACTGTATGATATCACTTATATGCAGAATCAAAAATACAGCAAATTAGTGAATAAAACAAAAAAGAAGCAGACTTTCAGATATAGAAAACAAACTAATGGTTAACAGTGGGGAGAGGGAAGGGAGGAGGGGCAATATAGGAGTAGGGGTTTAACAAAAGGGTTATTATGGGATTATATGAAATCATGTGTGTGAAACTTTAGAAAATTGTAAAGTGCTTAGAATTTAAAGAATCTTTCATTTCATAAAAATAAGTAAGTAAATGGATAAATTAGAGTATTATGCATTCACTAATGGTGAATGTCTCATAGAATGAGAATCAGGATTAATCCAATTCTGTGTGCCCAAGAACAGAACAACAATCATAACAGATAGGCAATATACTGTTTGTATCCAACTACAACTTTTATTTTTCTCATACAGTAAGATTTGTGAGATTCATCCATGTCAATATATGAAGCCCTTATTCACTTTTACCTCCCATTTTTTCTGCTAGACTAGGTTTTCTCCAGAAATCCCCAGAGTGCTAAGTGTTTGACCCTCCCCAGGTAATCCTTCCTGGCCAGCAGCCTGTGGCCACCTAGCTACCCTTACCACTCATCCCTCCTCTGACATGCAGGTCTCACTGGCCTGCTTGGATTTCTGAGTACCCTTCAGGCAACCAGTCAGTTCATTTCAGACTCCTTGAAGGCTTGCAAATATTTTGGAAGAGGAAAGCTAGAAGTGGTTGTGTGGTTTACTGCTTCCTACTTCCCATCAGCAGTGTTGCAGACACATACATGGATTGATGCTGGGGTCTGAGACAAAGTCTATGGATATAGGCTTTTTCTAAGAGCATCTAGTTAACCAACCTGTCAGTGTCATACACTAATGTAACCTGCCCAAATTTAGACCAAACCACTCCTCATTGATATTTCAAAACACTGGCAATGTTAGCATCCTTCTGTTCCCATGTGCCAACTCTCCTGGTACCCACTCTGCACATACCTCTGAGAAAAAGCCTTTTCTTTCTTCCTACCTTCCTGCCTTCTAGGACCTGATCCGGAGAGACATCTTGTACTACAAAGGCCGCATTGACATGGATAAATATGAGGTAGTCGACATTGAAGATGGCAGAGATGATGACTTTAATGTCAGCATGAAGAATGCCTTCAAGCTTCACAACAAAGAAACTGAGGAGATACATCTATTCTTTGCCAAGAAGTTGGAAGAGAAAATACGCTGGCTCAGGGCTTTCAGAGAAGAGAGGAAAATGGTACAGGAAGATGAAAAAATCGGTAAGTGACCTGAGAGGAGAAATAAGAACATGGCTATGAGAACATAGAAGACTTAAATTAGTTTTCATTTTCTAGAGGCAGAGAGAAGATCTGTGTTGCAAACTGACCTAATCCACTTTGGTGGTTCTCTATTATTAGGTTCTTTTTGGTAGATACCAGTAGTTTCTATTTGTCAATGTTAAGTGATAGTTACAGGTTGATCTCCCCTACATTCTCATTACTAGGTAAGACTATTGCACTGAGAACAAACCTCAGGCACACTATACATACTATTCTGTAGTCTCAGTGAAGTCCTAGCTCTCTTCTTAGATACATGACAGCATCTTCTGTGAAATGGTTAAGTTAGTCAAGGCAGATTTGGTATCATTATAGTAAGCAGATTTGATAATATATAGGATTCAGCTAACTTCTACTCAGAGTCTGATTACAAAGTCTTCTGATGAAGGCCAGTATATAGTATCTGTTTTCAATCTTAAACTTCAGGGTTCCTTTTGAAGAGTATGTATAGGCTATAGGGCTCACTGTAAGACATTTGTGGCCTATGTCTTAAAAAAATAGGTTAGCTGAATCTTTATTCCTGTCTCCCCTAACCTCTGCTATTTCATGATAGATAGAACTTTGTATCCTTATTTTTCTCTTAAAATTAAATCATCACCATTTCTCTAAATTATTTACTATTCTTAATCATTATTTTTTATGACTATCTTATGGAATTGCTGTAATTTTTATGTTTTTTATTTTTACTTTTAATACAAATAAATACATGATCACAATAACCATTTAAATACATATGGTAATGTAATGAAGTTTAGCATTCTTTTCCCATCTCTGTCACATCTAGGCTGTGTGAGATAATCAGTATTAATTTGGTGTGCCTTTTTCCATACTTATCTCATGCTTATATAAACATATATATATAATATATATAATATGCCTTTATTTTTATTTAGAAAAATTATACTATACATAATACTCTGTAACTTGCTTTTTTAAATGTAATTTATCATAAGTAACTCCCCAGATGAAGAATACAGAATCTAACTATAACTGCTTGTATCAGTCAGGGTTCAACAAGAGAAGCATAACCAATAGGAGATGTATTATTATTAAGAGATCTATTACAAGATATTGACTTATGTGATCATGAAGCCTGGCTAAGCAACTCCAAAATCCATGGGGAAGGCAGTCAGGAATGGAATATCATGGGCAGGCTCGAACTCATGGACTTAGGCCAAAGCTGTCATCTATAGGGATTGTAGGGCTGAGGTTGTGAGGTGAAATTTCTTCTCTTAGGGGAGACCTCAGCCTTGCTTTTTTTAAGTGGAAAAACACTATCAGCACTATGGTTTTAATGAAGGGCACAATATAGTAATATTAATTATAGGTTCAGTGTTGTACAACAGATCTCTAGAACTTATTCATATCTGGTGTAGATGGAACTTTATAGCTATAGAATAGCAGCTCCCCACTTTCCCCCTCCCTCCAGCCTCTGGAATCACCAATTCTACTCTCTGTATCTATGAGTTTGACTAGTTTAGATACCTCATATCCATACAAATGCAAGATTTGTCATTCTGTGATTGAATTATTTCAATTAGCATAATGCCCTCCAGATTAATCCATATTGTCACATATGGCAGAATTCCCTTCCTTTTTAGGGCTGAATAATATTTCCCTCTCTCTCTGTGTGTCTGTCTGTCTCTCTCTCTCTCTCCTCCTATATATATATATATATATATATATATATACACATATACATATATATACACACATATATATACATACAGATACATATATGTGTGTGTGTATACCACATTTTATTTAGCCCTTTATCCATCCTCAGACATTTATGGTTGTTTCATATCTTAATTATTGGGACTGATGCTGCAATGAACAGATATCTCTTCAAGATCCTAACTTCAATTATATTGGATATATACCAAGAAGTAGGATTGTGGGATCATATGGTAGTTCTATTTTTAATTTTTATCAGGAACTTCCCTACTATTTTTCACAGTGGCTACATCATTTTAATTCCTGAGAGTGTACTTTGGTCCAGTTTCTCCACATCCTTGTCTATCCAAACAGTAGTGAGGTGATATCTTATTATTGTTTAGATTTACATTTTCCTGATGATTAGTGATGTTGAGCCATTTGTATGTCTTATTTGAGGACATCTATTGTAAGTCCTTTGCCCATCTTTTTAATCAAATTATTTGGTTGTTGTCTGTTGAGTATAAAAATTTCCTATATATTTTGAAAGTTAATCCCTTTTCAGAAGTATGGTTTTCAAACATTTTCTCTCATTCCATGTATTGCCCTTTTATTCTGTTTCTTTTCTTCACTATGCAGAAACATTTTAGTTTGATGTAGTTCCATTTGTCTACTTTTGCTTTGTTGCCTATGCTTTTGGTATGATATCCAAGAAATCGTAGCCAAGACCAATGCCAAGAAGTGTTTTCCCTATGTTTTCTTCTAGGATTTTTATAGTCTCAAGTCATATGTTTAAGTCTTCAGTCCACTTTGCATTGATCTTATGTATGGTATAAGGTGGAAGTTCAGTTTCATTCTCTTGCATGTGGATATCCAGTTTTCACAACACCATTCACTGAAAAAACTAACTTTCCCCAGTAGTGTATTCTTGGCACCTTTGCCAAAGATATGTTGACTAAACAAGTGTAGGTTCATTTTTGAGCTCCGTGTCCTTTTTCATTGGTCTGTATGTCTGTCTTTATGCCAGCACCATACTGTTTTACTTACTGTAGCTTTGTAATATATTTTGAATAAGGAATTATGATGTCTCCAGCTTTGTTCTTCTCTCTCAAGATTGCTTTAGCTATTATGGATCCTTTGTGTTTCCACATGAATTCTGGGATTTTTTCTGTTTCTGTAAAAAAATGCCATTGGAATTGTGATAGGATTGCATTGAATCTATAGATGGCTTTGGGTCAGAATGAATATTAACAATATTAAGCCTTCCAGTACAAGAAAAGTAAACTATAGGCCAAATCCCTAATGAACATACATAGGAAAATCCTAAATAAAATACCAGCAAACAGAATTCAGCATTACAATGAAAAGATAAAACACCTTGACCAAGTGGGATTTATCCCTGGGAATACAAGAATGGTTCAACATGTGTAAATCAATTAATATTATATACCACGCTAACAAAATTAAGGATAAAAATCACATGATCGTCTTTATAGATATAGAAAAATTATTTCACAAAATTCAACACTCTTTCATGATAAAAGCTACCAGTAAACTAGGTATAGAAATAATTTACTTCAGCATAATAAAGGCTGTTTATAGAAGGTTCACAGCTAACATCATGCTTAAGGGGGAAAAGTTGAAATTTTTTCTGTAAGATCATGAACAAGACAAAGATGCCCATGTTCACCGCTTCTAATCAACATAGTAGTGGAAGTCCTAGCCAAAGCAATTAGGTTAAATAAATAAATTAATAAATTACATAATTACTGCATCCAAATCAGAAAGGAAAAAGTAAAATTATTTCTTTTTTTAACATTTTTATTGATTTATAATCATTTTACAATGTTGTATCATTCCAGTATAGAGCATAATTTTTCAGTTATACATGAACATATATATATTCATTGTCACATTCTTTCTCTGTGAGCTACCATAAGATCTTATATATATTTCCCTGTGCTATAAAGTATAATCTTGTTTATCTATTTTACAATTTTGAAATCTAAGTTTATCCCTTCCAACCCTCTGCCCCCATGGCAACCACAAGTTTGTATTCTATGTCTGAGAGTCTATTTCTGTTTTGTATTTATGCTTTGTTTGTGGTTTTTTTTTTTTAGATTCCACATATGAGCAATATCATATGGTATTTTTCTTTCTCTTTCTGGCTTACTTCACTTAGAATGACATTCTCCAGGAGCATCCATGTTGCTGCAAATGGCGTTATGTTATCGGGTTTTATGGTTGAGTAGTATTCCATTATATAAATATACCACTTCTTCTTTATCCAGTCATCCACTGATGGACATTTAGGCTATCTCCATGTCTTGGCTATTGTAAATAGTGCTGCTATGAACATTGGGGTGCAGGTGTCATCCTGAAGTAGGGTTCCTTCTGGATATAAGCCCAGGAGCGGGATTCCTGGGTCATATGGTAAGTCTATTCCTAGTCTTTTGAGGAATCTTCATACTGTTTTCCACAGTGGCTGCACGAAACTGCATTCCCACCAGCAGTGTAGGAGGGTTCCCCTTTCTCCACAGCCTCTCCAGCATTTGTCATTTGTGGATTTTTGAATGATGTCCATTCTGACTGGAGTGAGGTGATACCTTATTGTAGTTGTCATTTGCATTTCTGGTAATTAGTGATATTGAGCATTATTTCATGTGCCTATTGATCATTTGTATGTCTTCCTGGGAGAATTGCTTATTTAGGTCTTCTGCCCATTTTTGGATTGGGTTGTTTGATTGTTTCTTATTAAGTCATATGACCTGCTTATATATTCTGAAGATCAAGCCTTTGTCAGTTTCATTTGCAAAAATTTTCTGCCATTCCACAGGTTGTCTTGTTGTCTTACTTATGATTTCCTTTGCTGTGCAGAAGCTTGTAAGTTTCATTAGGTCCCATTTGTTTATTCTTGCTTTTATTTCTATTGCTTGAGTAGACTGTCCTAGGAGAACATTTTTGAGATGTATGTCAGATAATGTTTTCCCTATATTTTCTTCTAGGAGGTTCATTGTATTTTGTCTTATGTTTAAGTCTTTGATCCATTTTGAGTTTCTTTTTGTGTATGGTGTAAGGGATGGTTCTAGCTTCATTGCTTTACATGCTGCTGTCCCGTTTTCCCAACACCTTTTGCTGAAGAGAATGTCTTTATTCCATTGTATATTCTTGCCTCCTTTGTCGAAGATTAGTTGACCAAAAGTTTGTGGGTTCATTCTGGGCTCTCTATTCTGTTCCATTGGTCCATATGTTTGTTTTTGTACCAATACCATGCTGTCTTGATGACT